AATTACTGTTCTTCATTACTAATCTATTGTTCAACTATTTTATAATTCTTTTCCTTCAGTATCCCGGTAACTGCTGCTACAAACATGTTGTGCTCTCTACAATATTTTAAGTGCGTTAAGCACTTCCACGAAGTGAGCATGTAGCACAATTACTCTTGCTTCCTTTAAAGGACTTCACCTTTGTGGTGACGTTTTTCCAGAGGAAGAAGAACGCAAGTTGTAAATGAAAGAGCAAGATCAAATTATATCATAATGGAAATCACCTTTTTATATCCACTAGCTGATTTTTGGTGATATATTATTCAGAGCTTGTGTGGCACAGTAATGAAGGTGAAGTTGTAATTAATTCACTTGCATCTTTAATAACAATGGATCCTGATTAGTTCAGTTGGCTGGGCAGCTGGTTTGCAATGCAGAGTAACACAAACAGCATGGGTTCATTTCTTGCACCAGCTGAGGTTACTATGAAGGATTGTCCTCCTCAACCTCTCCCTTTGCTTGAGGCATGGCGACCCTCAGGTTAAACTACTACCAGGCAACACTCACTCACTAAAGAGCACCCTTATAGTCTGGCAGGACTATGATGATTTTTTCTTTTTAACAGTAGATGGGACTCGTGAATGAGATGCGTTTCAAGGGGTCAAAAGCAGTTGAAAGCTCGAAAGAAACGCAAGGACATGGGCATTTTTTGAAAGTTAAGCTGGGGGTAATATTCGATCTTCACAATGATCCTAGAATACTGGGCGGTTTTGGCAGAGGAGATTGCATAGTCTAAAATGGCTTGGAATGATCCAGTTAGAGCCAATGATGCTGTATGCCAAATAGTCTCACACCAACTCTTCAGAAGACTGGAACTGTTCGGAGGGCGAGAGAGAAAGAGAGCGAGAGCGATAGCGATAGACAGAGCGCAAAAAAGAACGATGTGGACAAAAATGTTTCTTTGGACGAGAACATCAAAAATTGGCGCACATGGAGTGGTTGAGAAAATTGACAGCTGCAATAGTATTGTAATTAATGCAAGGCCAAAGTTAGGCAGTGAGGGATATGGAAAGAGCTTCACGAGGAGAGAATTTTCTAAACGTAGATGCAAAATAAAATTTGGAAGGGCTGCAGGATATGGGTGGCAGTGGATACGAGGAAGGAGTTCACAGCTTTGGTTTGATTTGTTATTGCCACATGTTCTGAGATACAGTGAAAAATATTGCATTGTGCGCTATCCAGACAAATCATACTTTACATAAGTACTTCACAGAACAGAATGCAGAATATAGCGTTACAGCTACAGAGAAGGTGCAAGGAATGATCACTCTAATACGAGAGGTCCATTCATAAATCTGATAGCAGGGAAGCAGCTGCTTTTAAATCTGTTGGTATGTTTTCTCAAACTTTATCTTTTGCCCAATGGAAGAGGGTGGAAGAGAGTATTAACAAGGTGAGAAGGGTCCTTGATTATGTTGACTGCTTTCCCGAGGCAGCGGGAAGTGTACATAGAGTCAGTTTTCGTAATGGACTGGGCTGCATTCACAACTCTAAATTTCTTGCGGTTTTGGACAGAGCAGTTGCCATACCAAGCTGTGATGCACCCAGACAGGATGCTTTCTATGGTGCATCTATAAAAATTGGTAAGAGTTATTGTGGACATGCCACATTTCCTTACTTCCCCAGGAGGATAAAGGCCAAATATGCAAAATAGAGATGGCAAGATTGAAGGATTTCAATGGAGGGAATTCTTTAGAGAGAAAAGAATGGCAAGAAAATATAAATGGGAGCTCAGCAGGTTAGGACCAGAAATTGAGGTTGAAAGCCCAAAGGACAAGAGGTCACTTCAAAAGTAATTATTTTATTAAACACTTCAGAATGTCTCAAATCATGAGGCATTATCCTTCAACTTGTAGAGCTTTGGGAAACCAGTCATTGTTCTTAACGTTCTGTCATGACATCATTGTTCACTATCTTACCAGTACAGCCACATTATCTTCATGCTTTTTCTGCAGTTCTCGTTCAAGTTGTTTTAAAGCCTCCCCAACTGCCATTACTTTTTCCTCCTTAGCTTGATGCTCCAACGTTATTTTTAAACCTGCGAGCTGAGATTCTAATTCTTGGCAAGTATAAACTTTGGTACCAGTGGACTCTTCAGTTTGACAAATTTCGTCCACCTTAGGTGAAGTCTTTTGTTTGATTGCTTCCGCAGTCTCATGGAGACAAAGCTGCCATTCTGTTTCAATGTCATGCATTTCTTGGTCTTTGAGCTAACAAAAAGTTGAAAAAAAGCTTGAAATTAAAACATCCTCAATCATCCACTAATAGATAAGTAAGCAGTGCCTATTAGTCACTGAATTTCAAAATCAAAATCAATTCTGAGAAGCACTGTCTTCCCTCTCAAGTGTAAAAGATCACAATTTGAAAGTTGAAAGAGGAGCAGAATAGTGCTCTTATTTTCCACCCAAAACGTTTCACTCAATTTATACCCCAAAAATAGAAGCTAATCATTACTGTAACATTGTTTGTGTGATCGTGCTGTGCACAAATGGCTTCTACATTTTCCTACAATATGATGGCTATACTTCATAGTACTTAATTGACCACAAATACTTTGGGACATCCCTGGAGCATGAATAACTTTATATAAAGCCAAGCTCTTTTTTTCTCACTTTAGGGCCTAGGCATTCCCAATCTCACAGTTAATGGATAACTTGCATATTTCTTGTGATTCAGGACAAACACAGAATGGTAATTAAGAAGCACACCAGTGAACCTCTATCATTAATAAAACCAACATTGTCTAAATCACAAAAATAAAATTTGCAATACTTGGAAATAACTTCCTGAAGTGGGAAGATAGAACAATTACTTTACAATAAACAAAACTGCAAACACAGCAATATGACAATCATCAGAATTTAGAAATCAACATAATACCACTAATGCAATAATCAGCACGCAGAAACACTTTCTATTTCTCTATGTTTATGAAGCTGAGAATAAATCTAAGTTCTGCAATAATATGTTGTTGACTACAGCAAAGGATCCACACAGCACTATATTTTAACTTGTATTGTTAGCAAGATAAAAATCACTTTTTGTTGTTCCTCTTGCCACTGTATTTTGGCCAATGCAACACGCTTCTCGACTTGTTGCCCAATTTCAGTTTCTTTTTCCATCATCCATTGGTTTTTTGCAGCCACCGTTAGAGTTTTGTGCTTTTCTTCCAGCTCAGCCTGAAGCTCACTCAAACGTTCCCTCATTTCTTCAGCAAATGCCTTTTTCATCTGAAAAGTCAAAATTTACACTTTAAGTACTATATTCAGAATGCAGTTATATTTATAGTGAAGGGTAAACGTGTTTTCCTACAAGCATGTTTAATTGAAACTAGAAAAAGCCCTCAAAACATGTCTAAAAGCTTTTACTTTGGCTGTTGTTTGAAGGGCTAACTGTATGATGTGACTGCTGTGCCTCATGAATTCTAAATTGTTTTGCAACACTAGCATTCAAAATACTGGGAGGTATGTGGAATGAGAGTTGGCTTTGAATAATGGACACTGCTTTTTAGAAGTTGAGATGAATCTGCTAATATTTTCTTGGGATCCTTGTTTGTAAATTTAAATTTGTTAAGTTAATTTAAAAAAAAAACAAACATATTGCCATAATGCTCAAATGGGCTATTTCTTTATCTCACGGTCAAAAATCACATGACACCAGGTTAAAGTCCAGGTTATATTTGAAGATACAAGCTTTTGGAGTCTTGCTCCTTCTTCAGGTGTTAATGAGAGAGGTGGCATCATACACAGAATTTTTAAGCAAAAGATGACAGGGTCATAGAACAGATGCGAATGTGTTGAACAAACCTAAGATGGCTGTTAAATCTTTAGTCAGTTAGAAAGGATTAATATGCAAATTCCAGAATTTCTTTCAAGTCACAGATAACTAAAGGTTTGAGTTCCCTCAGTATACCAGAGGTAACATTCCAGGTCAGACAATCTACTTTAGGTGGGAGGCCTTGTTTAGATTCTGGCTGTGTATCAACTTGGAGTCAGACTGGTTTTATTTCCGAAGTAGGAACTTATAAAATGTCTACAAATTGTGTGCTTTTTAAGCAAAATAGAATGCATCTGCAAATGCAAATTCACCCCATAGATTTATACGTGTGTGGGGGAGACAGAGAGCGCGAGCGAGCGAACAAGATTGAGAGTATATAGTGTGGTGGGGTCACCTGTAGTGCGACATGAACGCAAGATCCTGGTTAAGGCCATCCTCATGGGTATCAAACTTGGCTATCAGTCTCGGCTCGCAATTCTGCGTTGCTATATATTCCCAAATCCGCCTTGGAGGACGTTTACCCAAAGATCGAGGCCGAACGTCCTTGACTGCTGAAGCGCTCCCCCGCTAGGAGGGAACATCCCTGTCTGGCAATTGTTGTGCAGTATCCATTCATCCATTATCGTAGCCTCTGCATGGTTTCGCCATTATACTATGACTTGGGGCATCCTTGGCTGCAGTGTACGAGACAGACAACGTTGGCCGAGACATGATATCTGCCATGCATGTGGTGGCTGGTGTTCCCACGTGTGACGGTAGTATTCATGTCTTGCAGAGATTGCCATGACAGGGTTGTATGTTGTTCTGGTCAATGCTATGCTGAAAGCTGGGTAGTTTGCCACAAAACAATGGTCTGTTTAAGGTTTGGCAGTTGTTTGAAGGAGAGAAGTGGAGGTGTAGGATAGATCTTGACGAGGTGCTCATTGTCATTGATGTGTGGAAGGCTGAGAAGAAAGTGGCGTAATTTCCCCGCTCCCGAGAAGTACTGATGACAAAGGGTACCCTACTGATTGTATCCCGTGTGTGTCATCAACAGCCATCTTAGGTTTGTTCAACACATTCACATCAATTCTATGACCCTTAGATCTTTTGCTTATAAATTCAGTGTCTGATGCCACCTCTCTCACTGACACCTGAAGGAGGAGCAAGATTCTGAAAGCTGTCTCTTCAAACAAACCTGCTGGACTATAACCTGGTGTCATGTGATTGTTTTCCTTGTCTAACCTAGTCCAACACCGGCACCTCCACATCTATTTCTCACAGCAGACGTAATCCATTTGAGGATTGACAATTGATATTGTAGAAAAGGAATCAGGAGATGTAGCGATGGTTGGATTTTAAGTTCCACACTCAATGCCATGCACTGCCATATGCACATTCTCAACCTCTCTCATCAGCACCACCTTATGCTATCCCAAAGGTGTCCTGCCATCCAGTTCCATTTCATTCTTTGGATTTGTTCAACGTTTTAACAAAAAAACCTTTTCCCTTCCTTTCAGATATTAAGGAACACAAGCTGCAACAACTCCAAGATATCCACACCCCTCTGGAATTTTCTTTCCTTTCCCTCGGACTCTATTCCTTCTCCTAACCCCACCTTGCCAGTTATTTACTATACCTCCTGACTGTTCGTTCTCTGATGCCGAATGTTCTTTACTCAGCAAATGGCACAGTTTTATTCATTTACACCCCAACTGCAATGAATTTTGGACATGACATGACATGAAACTCTTGACAAGAGCCCTCTCCCTGCCCCAGAGACCTTTTCACCCACCTCCAACACTCTCCCTCCACTGGGACCCCTTTCTTCTCGCCAAAATCCACGAATAGGACTGCCCCAGGACAGACCCACTGTTTCTGCCTGTCCTGCCTCATAAAACTTATTTCTTCCTATCTGGTTTTGATTTTTTTCTTCCCATGTCTAGTCCCTTCGCGCTTACACCTGCAATTTTTGATTCATCATATCGGTTTTAAAATTTCCAGTTTATGGACTCCAGCCAACTCCTCTTCTTCACGTCTATTCCCCATCAAGATGGTCTTGGGGCTCTCCATTTCTTCCTCAAAAAGGTGGCCTGAACTGTCCCCATCTGCCACAACCCTCCTTTGCCTGGTTGAGCTTGTCCTCACTTTGAACAATATCTCCTTTAACTCCTTGCACTTTCTGCAGAAGGCCTAAGACATGTTCACTTTATTCCTCAACCTAGGATTCCATGCTACCATGACTAACAGGGCCCTTGGCCACGTCCAACCTATTTCCTGCACTTCTACCATCACTCCTTCCTTTCTCTCCCACAACAATGATAGGTTTCCCCTTGTCCTTACTTTCTACCTTGCCAGACTCTGCACCCAAAAGATCATAAGCTTCCATTTCCATAGCCTCCAGCAGGATGACTCTGCTAGACATATATTTTCCTCTCCTCCCTAGTCAGCATTCTGCAGGGACTGTTCCCACTGGGAAATGCTGGTCCACTCCTCATGCACTCTCAATACTTTCTCATACATGCCCAACAGCTCCTCACACTACGTTCCCATGCAATCAGAGGTGCAATACTTGCCAGTTTACTTCCTCTCTTCTCAAAAGGCCTCAGATACAACTTCCAGGCAAAGCAGCAATTTATCCACACTTCATTCAATTCAGTCTACTGCATTCACTGGTCACAATGTGGTCTGCTTTACACTGGGGAGACTAAATGCTGAATGGGTGATTGCTTTGTGGAACACCTACATCTGTCTGCAAAAATGACCCCAAGCTTCCAGTTGCTTGCCACTTCAATACACCACTGTGTCCCCATGCTGAAATTTCTGTTTCAGGCATGGCATAGTGCTCCAGCAAATCTAATGCAACCTGGAGGAACCACACCTCATCTTCCACTTGGGACCTTAAAAACTTCAGGATGTTAAATATGGAGTTTAACAATCTTAGAGCTTGCTGACCCCCTTCCTTGTCTATTACCTACCCCATGTCCTGTCATGAAATGGGACAGTACAGTCAATCTATTTACAGCTACTCATTGCTCCCATCATTATCCTCCTATCTAGCTTCTTTTCTGCCCTGGCCTACTATCAACAATCCTTTTATCTGCCTATCCATTTTTGTCTCTCTGGGCACTCTCTCCATCTATCCGCTTACTCCTTTCCCCCACCATCAGCTTAAATATTACTTTTCCTAGCTGCTTCAAGTTCTGAAGAAGGATCACAGGACTTGAAATGTTAATGGTTTTCTCTCCACAGATGCTGCCAGACCAGTGAG